GAATGGGTGGTATATCAACGACAAAAAGAACGGAGTATTCCGGACCTTCTGGTCGGCCGAAGGAGGAACGGTGAGGGTAGAACTAAACTGAAAATTTATTTTTCGTAATACCAAGTAACAGGACGATCATGCCGTGCGCCTGGTGGTAAGCTAAACGCCTGTCCATAACAGTTGCAGTGCCACTCTTGAGACATAAGTTGACAAGTCCCATGTGCCTGTAATTTCACCAGCACCCTTACCCTTCTAAACCGGAACGCAGTAATGTTCACATTACAGCTTGACGGTTGAAATAGGTAAGGTGGTAATACTTGCGTGGACGAATTGTATTCTATCTATTAGTTTAAATATCGCTCATTTGATGCAACATTGACATAATTGTAATGTTGGCAAAATTGAGTTAAGTATATTAAACATATCTGCGACGTAACAAGTGTTCACGTTTGAAGAAAAGACAGTCATTTTAAATTTACATAATATTGTTAAGTGTATATAAAGTAATAAGTAAAATAAAGTTTTATTGTCACGTCATAAATTTGAAACAAAATTAATAAATCAATTCAAATCCATTTATTATAAAATTATAGGAAGTACAATTTCGTCAGTGTAACACATTGACTTACAAATAAATGGACGACGGGTCTAATACAAAAACCACGAAAAAAATGTCCCAAGTCAACCTATTCGAAATTTAAATTGTAATGTCATCGCAGTATCGCGCTGTCAGTCGAACCAATGAAGACTAAAGCGGAGTTTGGCGCTCTGTATACGATTTTAGCGCCTTACAAGTGCGGACACTTTTTAGCGCGGACCCGACGTCCATATAATTGTAAGTCAATGGTGTAACATCAAATGAGCGACGTATTATTTATTACTATTACAAATATCGAATAAACACAAATAAAAATTCCTTCGATCCGGCTGGATTCATACCAGCGGCTGTTTGTCAGACCGGGGCTAACCCGTTTCGCAAGAAACATTTTTTTTATAATGTCAAATGACGGAACGAACAAATCGTGCGCCTGATGGTAAGCTACACGACTGTCCATAACAGTTGCAGTGCCACAGAGCTTTGAATCGCAAAGATCTTAGAGTTACTGCCACTGCGCCCGTCACCCTGAGACGTCAGCACCCGTACCATTCAAAACCGGAATACAGTAATGCTGACATTACTGCTTGGCGGCAGAAACAGGTAAGGTGGCAGCACTTCCCTGGACGAATTCTTTCACAAGGAGCTCTACTGCTACTAAAAAATATAATGAATATCACATGGTAGTAAAATCATCGTGATATTCAATAAAATAAATATTTCAAATAAATAAATGTAAATTGTTTAAACTAAGGACCTAAAAGAGTGGCCAAATCAAGGCGCAAACATTTTCAAAACACACATACCTCTATACAATTTGACAACATTGAGGATCTATCCAAGCCGCTAGTGCCGTGAGGACTAGATGAGAAAGGCTTCGATTCGTAGGTTAACTAATTTGGGGGAAAAAATCAAAATTAGTTCCGATCGGAGAGTACTGGGTAATATTCCGGAGTTACCTTCGTTACTCTGGTATTCGTAGTACACAAGTACTACGAATACCAGACGTTGTCGCGTACGGTCGCGATTGACAGTTACTGGTGAGTGCCTCTATTCTTTCTGAACGGAATGTTAAAATGGCAACACAGAGGGAGAAATGGGGGGAATGATAATGTTTAAAAGGAAAGGAACGTTAGAGAGAAAAAAGACTGAGATTAGTTTGGGAGAGTAGCAAAAAGGGTGAGAGGAGGTGTAGTTAGTGCGAAGCAGATGGTGAAGTGTTTTCTAATCTGGTGAGTGTTTGTACTAATAAAGAGATATGGTAATATTGAGATATAGATGAAAAGATTATTGTATCTTGCTGGAGGTTTGGGTTGATCTAAGGGGAAGGTGGAGGATCAACATGGGGCCTCAGGGCCCCAATCTTCTGCGCGTCGCTCTTGGCAACAGGTGTGCCCGTCTGATGAGAGGATCCAACCACCATGTGGCTCTCGGGTTTACTTGTGGTGTCGGTCAAGGCACGCAGAAGGTTTAACGATAATTGTAGTATGCATTAGAGCAATTATAAATCCCTATATCTCTATGTTATCATATTATTAAGCATGAGACTTTGTCGCATATGAGAATTGACATTACATTGAACCAAGGCTATCCGACATCATGACAAAACATGTAGGATATAAAAAGTGGCGACAGACGTACTGACCGAAATCAAGTAAATGCAGTATGGTGTGTATTGTTGTGGAGAGTGTGTAATAGGAGCCTATTTCGTCGTCTTGCATCTGCATAAACTTTCGGTATGTATTTAAAATTATAGCTTTTTTCAAGGTAATATAGAGGCTTTCTTTAAAACCTAATAATTTGAGGCTATGAAAAAGATGATTGGGAACGCTTGTTGTGGAAAGAACAATATAAGAGATAACACTCTTGTCAACAAATTCTAGCCACTTCATCCTTGAGCTCTGCGTATTTATTTATTTTTTCAGTTATAGTCTTGTCTATGTTATGTTCTTCTTATTATTATAATCTCAAAGTAAATAACAGAAATCCGACGCCAAAAACAAGTCTATACCTTCCCTAAAGCGATACTTCACCCCACCTCGCTTGCTTCACTCCGTCTTGCCCTATCATTTATCATGTGCGAACAATGGCGTTCTGCGAAAGTCCAAATTTGCAGCCGCCCTGATTCATTGCAAGCACAATATGTTTTGAGGTGCATTCCTGCTCACCTCATAATTACTTATTGACTAAAAATAGTTTGAAAGTTTCACTAACCGGTAATCAAGAAAGCACTTAATACCCAAAACTTAGAAGGTATTTCCCGGATGCTACAACATCATCGTTATAGAATGAAGGAAGTAAAATAGTTATCAGTTTAAGTTTTGAAAACTGAATTTAAATATCTATGATATACAAGTAGACATTTACAAGACAACGCGTAAGGGGCTCACCACATCTATCCACACGGCATAGGCATTGAGCCGGTCAGAAAAACCTTTATGGTCATGCAATAACGTTTCGTTTCCGGATCGCCAACGTAAAACGCACAACATCATTTTCGTTATAATTAATTCAACATAAAGATTTTTCTGGACGGCTTAATGCAATTCTGTGTCGATAAGTATGGTGACTCCTTAACGTAGTCCGCCACATCATCGCTTACGATTATGGCCAAGCGTCAGTCCAACTCATATATATAAAAAAAAACATAATACAATATAAGTATGATAAGAACTAAAATATTATTCAACATATTTCTAAACTTTACAAGGTGCAATAGACATTGGCATAGAATTTGATATATGAACAAAATTGCACTTAAATAAAGGTAAAATGTAAAAGAAAAGGGACTTTCGAAAGTGATATTTCAGTTACACATGGGCTTTTTTTTCAATTGGTAATCTCGGTAAAGCTCCTTAAATTTAGTGAACAAAAAAAATTGGTAATCTACCCAGTAATAACTTTAATGCAATATAATAAAGAATCAGAATAAAAAAACACGGTTTAAATGAGAATAAACCAACAATAACGGCTCGATGGTATCTGATATCGGAAGTATTGGCAAAAAAAACTGAAACTAATAATTAAGCAATATAACAAAATGTCCCTCGGTGATTTATTTCTAACAGTTTACAATAATTGGGAAAGTTAATCTGATTTACGAGTTAGAGGTTTACTATTCGATTTTCTTCATAAGGGTTCCGACGATTGAATAGGAAGAATCATTGAAAATGTCTTAGACCATTTAAGATGTTTACTGTATGCTTAACAATAAAACGAAAACTAAATTTAAGCAAATTAATAAATATTACACAACACATACCTTGCTCGGATCCCAAAGTTAAGTAACTAAAGCACTTGTATTATGGAAATTGGAAACAACGACGTAACTATAAACACCCAGACCCGAGACAATATCGGAAATTTAGTTTTCTACATTGACCCAGCTGGGGATCGAACCCGGGACCTCAGACATGGCTACACTATGAAAACCGGTGTGCAAACCACGGAGGTCATCAATAACATAGAAAAAAAACCTATTACAGCAGTGATAGCACGATAGGGCGCGACTAGTGCGAGATGCTATTCTCGCATAGAGATTTCGCACTTCAGGGGGTTGTTGATCTCGTTTTGCTGATCCCAGATATGTTACTTGTCAACTTATGTCTCTGAGTGACGGGCGCAGTGGCAGTGAGCCTGAGATCTTAGCGATTTAAAACTCTGAGTGGCACTGCAACTGTCCTGAATAGGCGTGTCGCTTACCATCAGGCGAACGACTTGTTCGTCCCGTCACGGCATATCATAAAAAAATGTTAATAATTCAATTTCGCTAAAAACGTCGATGCCGTTAGCTATGATATAAGAGCAGAATAGTGATTTTACAATTACATGTAATCACACAATGTAAAATCTTATGAATATCAAATGTTCCCTCGTTATTGAGGTCAAAATGTTAAAAAGTAAACTTGAGTCCTCATTACATTATATACATACCAACTTCATAGTAACACATACTTCATAGTAAGTCTTCATTCCATTATTCCCGTTAATGGATAAGGGTATCGCCTTAAGCCGGTTAGAAAAACCTTTATATTCATGCAATAACAGCGAAAAAGACGTTGCAAATTTGACTTTCGCTCAAATCGCCGACACGAAACACACGACGACATTTTCCCTCTTATTACATGGACATTTTTTTGCCCGGCTTAATCCGTGTCGATAAATGTGGTGACTCTCTTATCATACCAAACGTTAACAACGTACAAAATTCATTCGCTACATTAAATACGCTACATATTCCTGACAATGTAGTAATGTATACCACAAGTATCAATTTCATTGCACCTATACGTCGTTGCTAACCAAGTTATCAACACATAGCAACGTCGTCAAGCCTTGAAATAAAAATAACAGATTGCCGACAAACGGTTGGCAACTAGGTTACATAATGTAATGTATATAAAGATTTACTTACGTTATCGTACGGTATCGGCTACTGAACCCCGATCTGTAACCAAAAATAGTGGAATGTTATACGAAGTTCGTGGAAATGCTTATTAAGAGAATGCTTTCCCAACGATGCTTACTTAAATATTTATTAAAGTATAAAATACAGAAATAAATTTAATAACAATGTCCGTAGGACATTATTGTCACCTTATAGCGAATACCTCGTAGGTATATGATTTCTGCGTAATTTTTTAGGACAAAGATAAAAATAGTGTCTTCTTCTTCTTATTGCACTAAAGGAGTCTCCCCATAAGACGGACTGTTCATATTCCCTGTACGTTTGATGCACCCTGGGCAACAATCAGCGAGGACCTTAGACCGATCGGCAAATCTTTTCACCACAGTGGCAAACATGTGCTATAATTCTGGCCTGCAAGTTTATGCCATCGATACGGTAAGAATAAGAATTGTACCTCTTTCAGATGCTATATTACTTTAATAATATATTTAAGCAAGGGGTTTATAAATTAAAATGAATTTTTTACAAAATCTTTTTTTTTATAATATCAAAAGACGAACAAGTCGTGCGCCTGGTGATAGGCTACATGCCTGTCCATAACAGTTGCAGTGTCATGCAGAGCAATGCAACGCAAAGATTTGATGCACACGCAAATAATGCATATTCGCAATCGCCTAGAAAAGGCCTTAGCTATAGCGTTCAGTGAATAAGTAAGCAGGCAAGGAATTCCACTCCATAGTCATATGGATGTGGAATATCAACAAGATATGGGAACCTCAGCCTATGTTTAGTCCCCCGATTATGGAAAAGGGAAGGCGGAATTAAATTGTGCAATTTCATTCCATCGCACTCTCCGTGATATATCCTGTAAGCGATGATGATGATAATATTGTATCAAACCTGGACATTTTAATTACACCTATATGTCTAGTGTAGAAGTCCCTAAAGTATCCACTCGCTTAAAATGTTTAAAAAAAGTATTAATAGCCTGTTAAAAAAAATTCTTACAATATAAAAAACTGAGATCGGATACGAGCTCTATAATTTGTCATTTTATATGATAACGGCGTCTGACTGGCTGGTTAGAATGTGGGAATAGAAAGCTCATTACGCCTTTAAAAAAAACAATGTTTCCAAATTCAAATTGAGTCATAACTGTAAATCTGGCATAATTTACAAAAATAGCGTTATCTACATTCGAAATCGTTCGTTCCTAAATCAAACGACGACGACCGATAGGTTATCTGTTCACACACTTGACTGATGGATGGGAAATTTACTCCATGATAATAAAAAAAAGTCCTAAACATTACGACATCAACTTATCACTTTCTTTGTATAGTAAAGAATGTTTCTTGTTACCAAGTTGCTATTAAAATATAATAGTAAGTACATTAAAGACGAAGAAGAAGATTTGATGACTGCTACTAGGTCTATAAAATAGGTCGTTTAGCGCTGCGGGAGCTAGATAAGAAGGTCTCGGGTTCTGGGTATAGCAACGGAGTGACTTTTGTTGCTCTGGTACTGAAGGAATCCCTACTTTGAGACCAGGTTATCGGTGTAGTGTCCAGCTCATTAAAAAAATAAACAAGAGACTTTGAAAAAACGAACTTGTTAAAAGAAGCGCCTTTACCTTATTACTTTTTTTTGTTTTGTAACCTAAATGCTATTACTAGTTTCGTGAATTATTCTGTTGCTCATTTAACGAATTCATATAAACGACTTTATGGCGACTGTATTACCATAATAATAATAATAATAAAACAGTTATTAGGCTCGGATATAACCACGTTACTCTACAGTGGATTAAAGGGCACAGCGGATCACGTGACGACGACGCAACAGATGAACTAGCTAGAAAAGCGTCGGAGATGGACGCTGTAGGACCAGAACCCATAGTGTTCCTCCCCTACCAATGGTCAAGAATAACTATACACAAAGGTACAAAATCTTCTCATAATAACACATGGACAACCCTTACGGTTTGTGGACAGGCGAGGGAAGCACTCCCATCGCTCAACGCCAGTCTATCTCGAAAAGTAATTAAATTCAAAAGACAAGAGCTTCGCTCTCTAAACTGCCGCTCTAAAGGGTCATGGTCCATACAATAAACACTTTTTCTATTTAGGTATCACAGATAGCCCTCTATGGAGAGAGTACATGGAGGGTGAGAAACGGCTCTACAGTGCTCCGGCGTGGCCAACTAAGGGTGAAGAAACTATGTTGAGTGTGTGCGTTGTTATTGTTGTTGTTGTTGAAGTACCTTGGAGTGCGGAGGTCGCTCACCGAAGTATTCAGCAAACCGAGGAGATTGCTGAGATTCCTGGACGAGCTTCGGAAGCACGAGTAGGACACTGCACCCACCACACGCAAAATAGGCGCCTTGACGTTGAATTGCGGACACCAGCTCGTTACACCAAGTACCAAGTAGGTTCGGAAAGGTAAATTTAACAAAAAGAGAACTAATAATGACTAACTCTCTTTTTGTTGAGTTTATCGATAGTACATATTTTCTGCACCATCTTTTCACAATTCATAGCGTAACTTGAGAAATGTATAGGCATAGTTACCTGTTATCAGTATAACTATATCATCAGTATACTATGTGATATTGATAGAATGCTATTTCCGCCGCCAAAGACTTCGTCGAGGAAAGTACTGCTATTTCGGCTATTTCTGCCGCCAAACAGTAGTGTTGGCATTAAAGCATTCCGGTTTTAAAAGGTAAGTGTGATGGTCAAATTACAGGTACATGGAACTTATGACTCAAGGTGAAGGGCGCAGTGGCAGTCCTTTAAATTTTTACGATTTAAAGCTCTGAATGGCACTGCAACTGCTATGGACAGGCGTGTCGCTTACCACCAGACGCACGACATGTTCGGCCCGTCACTGGATATTAAAATAATCTCAGTACAGAGTACTAAAAAAACCGACCTCAAAAGTACGTGGAATTACATATAATTACCAAGTTTTATTGAAATCGGTTACCGGAAAGTGCGCAAACCCGGATTCATCCCCTAGTTCGCCAGTATACGGGACTTGAAACAGGAGATAATAAAAATAGATTCTCACTACTCAAAGCATATTGAGAGAGAAAAACGCCTCGAATTGGAGAATAGCAAAATCAACCATTAAAATAATTGCTCCTTATAATACAATTTAGGTTTATAATAATGAATCTTCATGCCTGAACAGCCACCCTTAGAGGTGGATGATTTTCTTCAAAATTAAATGGGACCCTCTGTCCAACAAAAAAGAATCATGAAAATCGATTTACAAATACCGGAGTTATCGCGTAACATACATACAAAAAAAACTCAGTCGAATTGAGAACCTCAAGAACAGAACAACGAAAGAACAACGAGAGAACAATACTTTTATTGAAGTCGGTTAAAAAGAAGCTCGTCTGTTCAGACACGTGTTCACTTTACATTTTACATTAATTTTTGTTCTGTTCTTAATGATTACGGGTCGTGGCAGAATATCTGCTAAGTATTCCACATGGTTTCAGTTTAGTTTAGTTTAGTAGTAGAAATCCTTGTGAAAGAGTTACCTATTGCTGCTGCAGTAATGTGAGCATTACTGCGTTCCGGTCTTGAATGTAAAGATGCTGGAGAAACTACAGGCCCGTGAAACTTGTCAACTTACGTCTCAGGGTGACGGGCACAGACAGGCGTATAGCTTACCATAAGGCGCACGACTTGTTCGTCCTGTCACTTGATATTATAAAAAAAATCCAATCCTCGGCAGCTGAATCATAGGCAGACCAATATGACATAATTATTTTTGTTGAATTAGCATTATCCATTTTTTGTTGTAAGATACCATACGTAATTTATTAACTAATATAACGTAACAGTAAATAGAAATTGGTAAGTCGAAAAGGCGCACGCGCACTTTCAAGCTGGTTTCATCCAAGACATAGTTCAATCAACAACTTGTTAGAGTTAAGTCTCATTAACACCAAGAATTTCCATTTCTCGACGGAGATGACATCTGTCAGAATTTAACGATCCCATACCGGTTGCCTTTACGACGAAGGGCGATGAGAAATTTCCTCCACCAGTTTATCTAAACCTTTCATTTATCCCGATCCTTTAAGCAAGTTGGTATAAGGAAAGTGGTAAAGAAGAGGTCATTCAAGAGTGGTTACTTTAGTGACGAAATCAAAGCTCAAGTATTCAGTAAACATATGTAATGTAAGTTGCGAGCGCTTCAACTAAGAAGCGACTACATGTCGCCTTGTCAAATATTCGTAATTTACATTAATTCTTAAAATGAGCAAACTATTGTCCAACTGTTTATTTTACTTTCGACATAAGTGTGCCTATGAATTAAAACATACAACGATTATCTACATACATCGAGAATATAACCAGAAATAGAGACGAAACAAGGGCCATACATACCTGGTGATTCATAAGTGATACATCACATAAAAATATCTCCCGTTTGCACTGAAATTACAAATCAGAAAGCTGAAATAGTACAGCACCAACAACTGACCTGTGTGTACGTCTCCGTATATTCCACAAATATTCTGTATTTATTGTAATAACGATAATATCTGTAACATTGGCGTACTAACAGCAAAACACCTAATTACAAAACAAACTGAATCAGATTTCATCGGTAATTGTATATTACATACGTAATTTTGCAATTTTCGTCCATTACAGCAAAGCTCAAGTTAAACTGCTCGATTTGAAGTGAAACAATTGACGACACACGTAGACGACGCCCGTCAATTGTTTCGAATTCGGGCTGGCCAATCGGAGCGCAGTTGTCACAGTTATGATATGGCAGAATAGTTTTCAAACAAAGTAAATGACATTTCGTCTCTATTTCCGATTATATACTCGATGTCTACCTACCATGTGATAAGAACATCTATATTTAAACCCAACACAAATATTTAAACCAACATAAAATAATCAAGCTAAGCTAAATTCAGGACGCCATGTAAACACATCGCGTACAGGCTTTCCAAACAGGTAGGCGCATGTGACATCAGTGTTGTTATTAAACATGTTAATGACA